TAATCAGCCTCATTGCGTAAGTCGTAAATTAGGCTGAATTGTACGACTCGACAACATTAGCATTGTCTACTGTCGTGCTGAAATAAGTAAACGACGAAAATTGTCGAGAACTATGCAGTGCTGCCAAGTTCTTCCGTTTTAATACACTAGTCGAGTGGAAATTTTAGGCAATGACGCTAAATTTTCGATTCGGTTCGACTCTCGAAAAACGACTTGCATTCGGCACGACTCTCGCAATGAGGCTGAATGATGTGCCGATTACAACATAAAAAGTAATCGAAAAAATGAGTGTAAGCAACGAAGATTAAAAATCGCTTTATAAGTTATAAGATTTTGTAGACTTGTACATAAATAAATAAATACGCGTAAATATATAAATATACAGATATATTCAATGTGTAAAAACTGAAGTGTATACTAACGAAACTTCTACAAAACAAAACTGGACTACACACTAATTAATTAAAATGGTGTAGTAATTTAATTTTTTAAATTAAAATAAAGCATGAATTCCCCATGGAATAACCGAGTAGGCAAAAAATATATAACGGTAAAAATGGTACATAATGGTACAAATTTTTTTTAATCGCCCCTTCGCCAAATCCTGGCTACGCCACTGGTAAGGCTCATAGTTGTTGTTGTTGTTGTTGTTGCGGTAAGGCTCATAGTCCCTAAGCGCGGCCAAAGGCAGAAGCAAGCGCATCAGGTGGTGGACCCAACAAAGTGCATGGTTTTAATTGCTTGGACGAAGCTGTTATTGCATTAACTTGGATAGAAAACCAGTTTTTCAGGCATAGGAGTTTTGGCTTGTGGTNAGCGGTAAGGCTCATAGTCCCTAAGCGCGGCCAAAGGCAGAAGAAAGCGCATCAGGTGGTGGACCCAACAAAGTGCATGGTTTTAATTGCTTGGACGAAGCTGTTATTGCATTAACTTGGATAGAAAACCAGTTTTTCAGGCATAGGAGTTTTGGCTTGTGGTTCAACAATTCCACCAGAAGCTGACATAGATGCGCCCATGGTTACTATGCCAGACAGCTCCGCATACCTTTGTGAATCCACTGCCATAGCGCGCTCTTACTCCGCTACTATAATTGCTAATGCATCAGAATCCATAATTTTCCTCAAAATATGTAAACTCAACCAATTTCACAATAAACAAGCACATGATAAGTGTTTCTTTAATTCTTTTCCATTTTGTTTTCCTTCATACAGCTGACTTCGAAAAACAACTGATAGCTGGCAATGCTGCAAATTTTTCGGCAAGGATTGCAGCATGTCGGGTTCTAGAAGAAGGATGTTACATTAGCTGCATTTCTTTTTGTAAGCGAGCGACAAAAGAACGCTCAACTCGGGTAAAATTTCCTTTTAGGTAGTTAAGCAACCCTGTTGGTGGCTGGTAAGAAACACGTGATTAGTTTAACGCGTAGCCGTTAGCTTCGTCCGTTAGTTCATATAGATGCCTCCTGACGTGCCTAGGCGAGGGCTCCTCTGCAAGCAGCTGTCTGCTCGGGTGGCCACTTCTGTGGCTCCCGATCAGGAACTGCTTGCAGAGCATTATATTGTGCTCCTTTACCGGGAGCATTTGCGCCTCGCCGTGCAGGTGGTGTTCAGGCGTCATCAAGAGGCATCCCGTCGCTGTCCTCAGTGCGGTCTGTAGCTTCGTCCACTGCGTCCTACTAGTCCCAGGCGACCACACTGGCGCTGCGTAGTTCAAAACCGGCCGGCCTATTGCCTTGTATGTTGCCAGCAACGTTTCTTTGTCTTTGCCCCAAGTACTGCCGGCTAGCGACTTGAGGACCTTGTTGCGGCTCTGTACTTTATTGACAATAGCGGTTGAGTGCGCAGAGAAGGAGAGCAGGCTGTCGAATGTTACTCCGAGTATTTTGGGGTTATTCACCGTCGGAATTGGTGTGTCATCGACGTGAATCCCCAGCGGTAGCCTGACCTCCTTCGTCCAGGTTGTGAACAGGGTCGCGGAGGATTTCGTAGGGGAGAGGGCTAGACACTTTGCAGTGAAGAAGCGAGAAAGTTCGGAGAGATAGCCGTTTACTTTCGAACACAGGTCATCAATTCCATTCCCAGTCGCCATAATCGAGCAATCGTCGGCATAGGAGACAATCGAGACTCCCTCTGGTGGTTGAGGGAGCTTTGAAATATAAAAGTTAAACAGTAGCGGGGAAAGGACACCACCCTGAGGAACCCCCTCAGTAACGGGGAAAGGACACCACCCTTTGTCTCTGAACATTACCGACGAATGTCGACCACTTAGATAATTTGCCGACCACCGTTTGAGCCTCTGTGGGAGAGAGGAGGCCTCTATATCTTCTAGCAGCGTGGAATGGCAGACGGTGTCAAACGCCTTTGACAAGTCCAACGCTACTAGAATCGTTCTCTCACAGGGACGGTTACGGTTAAGGCCACGAGTTATCTGAGTGTTTATGGCGTTAAGTGCTGTTGTTGTACTGTGCACTTTACGGAAACCATGCTGATGCTTCGCTGGGGTCAGGTGGTTTGTGAAGTACGGGAGTAGCAAGGCCTCGAGTGTCTTCGCTACCGGGGAAAGGAGTGTAATCGGACGATACGAATCTCCTTTGTTGGCAGGTTTCCCCGGTTTGAGCAGTGGGACCACTCTCCCCACCTTCCAGATGTCTGGGATGATGAGAGTGGCCATTGACAAGTTGAGGACCTCCGTTAGGTACGCTACCCCCGCAGGACCCAAATTTTTCAGCATCAGCATGCATATTCCGTCGGGACCCATGGCTTTGGAGGCTTTCGCCTTCCCGATGGCCACCTGAACTTCACCGCAAGTGAAAGCAAGGGGGGCACAAGTTGTTGGCAGTTTGTGCAGCCTTCTGGTCACTCGACGCTTGGCTTTGTCCACCGGAGGATGCAGTATGAACTGCCGGCTAAAATAGCTCGCGCATCGCTCCGGGTCCGACGAGGCATGGTCGCCGAAGGAAATTTCGACTCTGTCGTCGTGCTTCGTCGGATTAGACAATGACCTCACGGTTGACCAAAGCTTGCTCACACCAGAGGTGAAATTACAAGTCTTCAGATGCTCCTCCCACTTCTTCCGCTTATGTACGTTTACTAGTTGCCGAATCTCCGCGTTGAGATCCCTGATACGGGGATCTCCGGGATCGGCCTGACGAAGGCTATCACGCTCATCGGCTAGAACAGCCGCTTCGGCAGGGAAGTTTGGACGTGGGTCCGATATACATCCTGCCGGTATGAAGCGAGCTGCAGCAGCAGTGATAGCCCTGCGGAACTTACGTTCACCGAGATGGACGTCGGTTGGTGTGGGGAGCGCTGCGAAGGTGTTTTCGGTAAACTCCGCGTAACCTTTCCAATCAGCTTTAGAAAAGTTGATATAGGTCCGGTGTTTGGCGGAGGCAAAGTCGGTTGGTTTATCAATCGAGATGACTATGGGTAGATGGTCTGATGCTAGAGTCAGCATAGGTCGCCACGTTATGCTGTTTATCAGACCAGCGCTGACTATTGTGATGTCTGGCGAGCTACTGCAGTTACCCATAATCCTGGTGGGTGCGTCGTCGTTCATTGTGCAGAATGTCGAATCGTCTATCTGCTCAGCCAAGTCTGTTCCCCTACGATCGTTTGACAGGCTTGAGTGCCAAAGATCGTGGTGCGCATTAAAGTCACCTACTACCATACGGTTTTCACCTCTGAGGAGCGCACCTATATCAGGGTGATATCCTGCCGGGCAGCAGGTGACAGGGGGTATGTATATGTTAAATATTTCGAGCTCGACATCGCCTGACCGGATAGCGATGCCCTGACATTCTAGGGTGGTATCCCTGCGGTCGATGTCTGCTTCGATAAGACGATACTGCACGGTGTGGTGCGTGATGAACGCTAAGCCACCACCATTATCTCGCTCGCGATCTCGACGGTGCACGTTGTACCCGGCGCAATTCAACAAAGTTGAATTGCTGTGCAACTTCGTCTCTTGGACCGCAGCTATTAATATACCATGCCGACACATGAAGACGGTTATCTCCTCAATCTTGCTCTGTAGCCCGTTACAGTTAAATTGAAGGAGCTTCATGTGGTTCGGGAGACGTGTCGTGATGTGGGGTGTAAGTGAGGTGTATGTTCTTGCCGCCGTTGGCTGTGTGTGCTGCTGAGGTGATTGCCGCCCTGTGGTGGTGGTGGGGGGCGTCGCAATTGAAGTCTGCGACCGAGCAGCGCAACACGGGCCCTCGAAGTTCCCCGTCCAATCTCGCGTGGTGCGCAGACCTGAACATGCCCTAAAGTGGCACCAGCCAAGGCAGGTGTTGCACTTGACTGATGTCACATTACGGAATATTCTGGTCTGACATACCGTGCAGATTGTAGGGGGAACCAGGAGTTGTTGGCGGCGGCGTGTGGGTGGTGGTGCGGTTGTGTGTGTTATGTGGTCTGTGGTGGCTGTGGTACGGTCTGTGGTGTTATTATGTTGTTGTGTTGTGGTGACTGTGTGAGGCTGCTGTGTGAGTGTGTGAGGCTGCTCGGGCGGACTGTGGTTAGCCGTGGAGGCTGCTCTGTTTGAGCAACAGGGGGCCACGTACGACGTGGTCCACTGTCTGTGTGTCCGTAGTCCCGAGCAGACCCTGAGGTGACTCCACCCCTCGCAGGCATTACACTTGACTGAGGTGGAGTTGTGGTGTAATCGTCTTCGGCATACACAGCAGGTGTATATTTCTGGCCCAGGGTTTGACTCGATGCCAGCCCTGAGTAGGAGAATGCGTAGTGAATGTTGCCCTATGGACGGACAACTTCTGAGATACTTCGCCGACCTAAACGGGGTTAGATCGCCGAAACAACAGCCCTTGGTCGGGTGAAACCCGAGTCATTCCGGTACGTAGAACCGGCTGTCGTGGGAATGTAGAACCGGCTGTCGTGGGAATGAGTCTGTAGAGATACTACGCCTCTACCAAAAATGCACGTATTTTTTTGCTAATCAAAACTAAAAATATTCTTTTACCTTAAAGCAAAAATTACTCCATCTAACATTTCTTTTATATATAATAAAATACGCATGAAATTACATAAATCGATGTATAACTAAACTCAAAAATCATAATATAATAATCATTTATTCCTTAATAATAAGATCTTTTATGGAAGACCATAGCTTTTACCAAATTCAATGGTCCGTAGTTATAGCCGACACTTAAGTTAAAAGAAGCTTTTTGACATACGTACATAACTTTCAATGGGATATCTGTCAAAAAAGCTGTTTTTATCTTTGGAGTCGACTTTATTTTGACTATAACTACAAGCCAATCGTGAAAACAACTTTCAATATCTTAAGTTACCCATACATATATACTTAATTTCGACGTATTCATCTATACCATGATGACAACCTTCACGCCCTATGCCTGATTCTTTGACACCTCCAAAAGGAGCTTCGGCGGCAGAAATCAGTGCTTCATTCACCCCCACCATTCCCACTTCCAGAAGCTTCGCTACCCGAAATACTTGTTGTATATTTTCACTGAAAAAATACCCAGCCAGTCCCCGCCTGGAATTGTTAGCAGCATGTATAACTTCTTCTTCAGTATTAAATTTCATAATGGAGACAACAGGTCCAAAAACTTCTTCTGTATATAATTTGGCATTAGTTGGTACATCTGTGATTATAGTTGGAGAGTAAAATAAATTCCCCAAGTTCTTTAGCGGTTTGCCTCCTAGTATTATATTAGCATTTTTTAAACGAGCATCCTCTACGTATGCACTAACCTAAACTTGATGATTTAAATTAGAATATTTTTTTGTTAAATTAATGTTATTTACCTTATTAAATTGCATACTATTTATAAGTGGCCCAATTTGAATACCCGGTTTAGAACCGTCACCAACTTTCAAAGATTCGACGCGCTGCTTTAGTAAATCTATGAATCCGTCGTGTACTTCTTGCTGCAAAAAAAAGCGATTTGCTGATATGCATGTTTGCCCACAGTTACGAAATTTACATGAAACGGCAGCGTCAACGGCCTTATCTAAGTTTGCTGAGTTAAATACAATAAATGGGGCATTGCCACCTAATTCCAATGATATGCGTTTAATTCCATCAGACGAATTTCGAAATAGCAATTTCCCTACTTCTGTTGATCCTGTGAACGATATACCTTCTACATCTGGACTTTTGCAAAACAAGTCGCCTATTGGAGGTGCTTTATTTGTTGTAACAATATTTATAACGCCGGCTGGAAAACCGGCTTGCTCTGCAAGTTTAACAAGGGCTAAAGCTGTTAGCGGTGTGTCCTCCGCCGGTTTGATAACTATAGTGCAACCTATTAAAAAAATGAGATGAAAATAGTTATTTTAGTACATTCATATTTATTTTAAAAATTTTATCATGCCGAAACTAAATTAAAATACATATTTCGCGTTTAAACTTTCGCTAAGTGTTTGGCCAAAAATTTGGGGTGTACGTTATGATGTTATAACACAAATGGAGAGACCTACAATTTTACGCCCCCTCTGGACGGCAAACGGGTTTTCAAGGCAGAAATACGTTCTGAGGTTTGCCATTGCCTGCAGAGGCGACCGCTGCTAGAAAAACCCTTTTATTTTATATGCCGCTCGGACCAGCAATCGAACCCAGGCTCTACAGAGTAGAAGTACGCACCTCTAACCACTCTGATATAGGGACCTAAAACTTCAACCGTACATACACTATTAACACTAGAAATACCAAAGCGGTTAAATGACCGCAATCACATTTTTGATTGAACATATTACTAGAACTATTGCATTAGCATCGCTAACGTTTCATGACTTCTAATAATCCGACTTTGTTACGTTGTTCTGATATATTTATAATGATATATAAAAATGATTAATTATGTACCTTGAAAGGCCATGGCCGTGAATGCACGTGTGGTAAGTTGGACGAAAATTTTGGTGTTTTCCCTTCCACCAAAAAATTTCGCCTTTTCATTGCCCCTTTCTCTTTCGCGATTACAAAATAAAGGGAAACGGTGAGAAAAGTTTGTGTTCGTTTCTTAAAATGGCATTCTTGTAAGGCAAGAAAAGGCACATTCTCTGTCCTTAGAAGCTTTGTCAGGGGAAACGGTTGCCCTGCAAATCAGATGGTTGCTTAAACCGACAATTTTATGGAAGCTAGGCAAGGACCAGAAGGCAAAAACATGCCCTTTTAGAGGATGGAGTATAACATCAAACACATTTTGCACCGTGGAAGGGCTTTATTTTTTGGAACAATCGAAATCACAATTATTTTTCAGCATTTATACATGAATTTTGTATGTTACTTTAATGAGTAAAACAAAAATATGAAATCATTCATTCTGATATGCTTATAATGATATCATACCTTGAAAGACCGCGGTTGTCATTTGATCGCAATGCTTACATTTTATTAAAAGCATGGGTGGGTAGTTGAATGAAAATTATTTTTCTACACTCATTCATTATTTTTGTATGTTACTTAAATTTAACAATGAATAAAACCAAAATATTAAAACATTCGCATAAAGCATTGATTAAACGTCTTAGGCCCAATTTCAGATGGCATACTTAAGTAGAGATTGTTAATTAACTTCCACTATTTATTCTCAGATCAAACATTAAATCTGCACTTAAATAGCCAATATTGGCTACAAGGCGGATTTATACAAAGAGGCGAATTTAGATTTTCGTCGCGGTCCTTCTGAATGTCAAAATGATGTGCTATTTAAAAATGACATATGCAACCCTGAGTATGTACCAAACAACCAAGATTGATTGGCAGGTTGTTTAATTAATTTCTCTAAATCCCACCAAAAAACAGTCAGGTGTCCAGCACAAAATTTAAAGAAACAAGCAAATGCAAAAACAATTTCAAGGAACAGGCAGCAGTGCTCTCAATTGTTTGGCATATTTAAACAAAGTTGATCTGAAACCCAACAAAAGCTAAATGGCATTTAAACAACAATCCACATTTAAACTTAAGTGCCGTTTAAATATTCATTTGAAATTGGCCCTTAGTACGTCACCGCTCTTGGTCTTTCTAGGTAGTTCTAAGTTTCGTCTATCTAGTCCGAATAGTCGCCCCATTTCGCTTTGGCGTTTGCTTCGCGTTGACAGCTGAGATAACTAAATGCATTTATATGAATCAAATAATCTTTTTGCATGCGCTGAAACCAGTTGATGCCACCAGTGTTGCCGCGAATCATTTTTAGTGGTAGCCAAATGCTTTTAAAAAAAGGGCTAAAAATAAAAAAAAAAAATCGTTGTGGCCAAAAATGGTAGCTACATTTTTTTTACTTATATATACATATATCAGTAAACACGCAAACATTTTCAATAAGTAATGGTATAGAAAAACAATGAATTCTGNGGGCTAAAAATAAAAATAAAAAATCGTTGTGGCCAAAAATGGTAGCTACATTTTTTTACTTATATATACATATATCAGTAAACACGCAAACATTTTCAATAAGTAATGGTATAGAAAAACAATGCATTCTGGAAAAAAGCTAATATTTTATTCTATCAAAAACCATTTTGTATAAATGGGGAAATATACGACACCAGCTTGCTGGCTCCTTCAAGTGATTTTCCCATCAGGCTCGATTCCCCCCCCCCTTCATCAGTGAAATGAAACTTTTTATTTTTAAATTAATAACACAATACTATTTTACCCTTCCGATATATAATTTTTTTATTTCAGACTGATGACAAATTATCTTTTAATGAATTTTTGAATATTTGCGAAATACAGTAGGCCATTTTTCTTAGTTCCGTACAGTGTTAGGAAATAATCTATAGAAAAACTGTACTTTTCGACTGTAAATTGTATCGACTTTTTAATTTGCTAATATGCATGCATGCATACATAGATTCCCTTCAAGACCAATGCTTTGATGGTATTCACGGGAAAGTTTATGTAGGTGCATTTACATATTTTACACTTTTAACAGAAATGTCAAGGCAGATATTTTAAGATACACTTCTTAACAAACAAATTCTTTTAAGTTATTATGAATAGATAAAAGAGACATCTTCTTTGAATTCAGTACTTAAACTTGACATTTCAAGTGCTTATCAAAACTTTATACATGTTAACTAGATTGGCCATTTATCTTAAAATTATAAAATTTTAATTATTTGTTTATACAAATACAGTTTGACAAAAACCGTATAAATCCAAGGTTTAATCTTTGCGCAACATTAACAAAATCAACAAACTTTCGTAAAGCTTTTTAATTAGATTTGATATAAATACATATTTTGAGTATGCAGTTTTGTAGCCCGATCAATTCAAATAAAGCGCAAGTTTAAAATATATCGCCGCGACTTATCGTTGATTTTTAATATATTTTTTTTTTTTGATGAAGGCGGTTCTCATTTTCTTCATATTTCATATTTATTTAAGAAATGAGGCTGTATCTATAAGACTTTTGAGTGTTTTATAATACATCAACAGTTTGTAAAATTCAATGTTTGCACAAAGTAAACTTAAAACTAAACTATTTTTAATTAAAATTCAAATTAAAATTAAGACTTAAAAATTAAGGCCAGATATAATAAAAGGTCAGGCATATAAATGTAAATACGAACATACAAAATTTGGTTTAATAGTAGAAGTGACAGAGACAGNAAAATTAAGACTTAAAAATTAAGATATAATAAAAGGTCAGGCATATAAATGTAAATACGAACATACAAAATTTGGTTTAATAGTAGAAGTGACAGAGAAAGAGAAATGATAACAGTTTAATCGCAACCACATTCCTTGTGCAGATTTAAAGTAATTATACAATACCTTTCTGAAATTACTCCGATTCATCGCTGCTTTTACGGATTCAGGAACTGAGTTCCAGAGCCTTACAGCATTAATGAAGAACAGCCTAGCTGAAGACAAGTAGGAATATTTGGGGACAATCAGACTTAGATTTCTATTAGGCNCTTGTGCAGATTTAAAGTAATTATGCAATACCTTTCTGAAATTACTCCGATTCATCGCTGCTTTTACGGATTCAGGAACTGAGTTCCAGAGCCTTACAGCATTAATGAAGAACAGCCTAGCTGAAGACAAGTAGGAATATTTGGGGACAATCAGACTTAGATTTCTATTAGGCCTTGTTGATTCTAATTTTTCAAAAAGGTATTTTGGAGTTTTGAATTCTATAAGCTTATACATAAATATACAATTTCTAGCCGCTAGGTATTCAAAAATGCTGCATTCTAGAATTTTGTTTTTCCACATAGAAACGTGGTCATATCTTTTGAGGCCGTAAACGTAACGTGTAACGTTATTAAACGCAACATCAATTTTGTGAAACGAAATAGAGTCAAACTTGCTATACACTAGCCCACAGTACGTGATCTGCGGCACTATAAGCTGAATAGCTAACTTTCTTCTTGTATCTAAGGGTGTAAACGACGCTGACATTCTTAATCTACGTAAAACAGCATACACGTTACTTACCACATTATTCACATGGTCAGAACAGCTCAACATAGAATTAACAACAAACCCTAAATTTCTTATCTTGTCAGTCATAATCAGGACGCTATTACCAACAAACAGTTTCGGAATATCTTCCACATGTACTACACGTTTACTAATGGGCAACACATACGACTTTGCAGCATTTAAGCAAAGACAATTATCGAGGGCTCAGTGTGAAATTGCAGACAGGTCACTATTAATTTTAAAACACAAATCTTCAACAAGACCAATTTGACTGGACAAGTACAATTGAATGTCGTCAGCGTAAGCATGGACGTTGANGGAATATCTTCCACATGTACTACACGTTTACTAATGGGCAACACATACGACTTTGCAGCATTTAAGCAAAGACAATTATCGAGGGCTCAGTGTGAAATTGCAGACAGGTCACTATTAATTTTAAAACACAAATCTTCAACAAGACCAATTTGACTGGACAAGTACAATTGAATGTCGTCAGCGTAAGCATGGACATTGACATGGTGGCACACAGAGAATACATCATTCACAAAAAGACTGAACAAATGAGGGCCAAGGACAGAACCTTGCGGCACATCCGAGCCAACAAGTTTAGATGTGGAGGAGCCAGTCTTGCACATTACCTTTTGAGTTCTTCCTGCAAGGTAGCTGATCATAAGTTTAACAGAGCTATCAGAAAAACCAAAGTGGTATTTAAGTTTTTTGCAAAGCAGGTCATGTGATTCACCAAGTCAAATGCCTTAGAAAAATCCAGTAGGCAAAGAAGAGATAGGTCACCATTGTCAACCAGTATCCGTATATCGTTAAGTATTTTCAACATAGCCGTAGAGCAGCTATGACTTGGTCTAAACC